CAGGTCCTGAAATCACCTGTTACATAGGGAGTTGCAAGCCAGAACATCTCCTACAGCTGTGGGACAGATCTCCTCAGCCGGTACAGCTTGCCTCCTGCACCTGCCCTGTATGACACCGTTTGTCATGCCATCGTGGTTCCCCTGCTTACCTGCACAACGTGAGTGTTCTCACAGACCTTGTTTCAAAAACCTTTTACCCCAGCGAGTGTTTTCCTCGGGCAGGAGGCTCCTCCTGATCGGTGTATTTACCGTGGTCATGCTGTCGTGTGTGTGTTGGATAATAAAATGCAGGACTCATGGTAAAATCTTTCACCAGAGAAATTATCTGGAAGTACTATTAGGTTTTTACAGAACGCCCACTGAGTAACTAAGTAATTAAGTGAAGATGAAAATCTTATCCGGGACACTGTTCATCTCTGAAATCCCTAATCTTAAACCCTTTCTTCGGGCCCAGAAAGTCTCTACTTATATAAGCTGAAAGGGAAAAAAATTGTGAGCAATCAACATACAAATAGTTTGTGGCTTTGATGGGAATCAGTTTCGATCATGTTTCAGGCAGAAATAATTCTTTGCACACAGAGGCTGCATGATTTAAGTAAAGGTGTAAATTTTTAGCACCCGGGGGCGAGGTTTCTTCTGCCCTCCGACATAACGGCGCGGTCAGCTGAATGGATGCCGTGTTCATGCAGCACTGCTGCCGTCTCTACGTGGCTCTTACGTTGTGCTCCTGCACGCCATCAGGACAGGGTGCAGCCTGGCAAAGCAGACGCAAAGTGCTTTACTCTAAGATTGTCACCTGGGATGCTTTCCCACATGAAAATAACTCAGCCTCACTGCTCTTCACATCAACAGTTAGGAACTTTGGCTCCTTACCTGGAGAAATTTTCTGTCATCCACCATCCACAAATCAAACGGCTTGTAGAGGAAGATCGCTACTGGCATCCTGTGCTTTCTTTTTTTTCTGTTAGTTCCATGCACTCAATCCTTTAAAGCAAGAAAACTGCGAAAAATTCTGCAGGGGTGAGTCTTGCCAGTGGTGTGTTTAGAGAAACTGTGTTTGCTCTTGGTTTGGCCTGCAGTTACTAGAGAAACTGTGTCTGACTCTTTCCCTTTGTCGTTCATGCCTAGGCTTGCCTGGTGACCCAGGAGACCTATAATTTAATCTGGCTAAGAATGCTTGTGCTGAGTTAGGGGCCTGATCTGAATCCCACTGAAGTCTTTGGGCAGATTTCCGTTGATTTCGGTGAGCTCTGGATCAGTACCACGAATATCCAACCACTCTAATGCAGCAGTTTTTAGTGGTTTGGATTTTTCTATTCCTAATAAGGATTAAAACCCAACGGCACCATTTAACAAATGGCACAAATGTCTCCTCATTTATCTCGCGCCTCACGTCAGTCAGAATACTTGGCTGTTCATCATGTTGTGAGCAAAATCTGCTGGGACGCTGACAGTTTCTCTTTGGATGCGACTGGGAATGAGTGGAAGCATAATTTGTTGACTGTTATTCAGTGGAACTCACATTGGGATGGACTGTTCACAAATGTTGGTTTTGCCATTTTGTTTCTTAGCTGCTTATTATCCAAACCGAGTACCCAGGGCTGCGTTTCCTTCAAGTCAGTGACAACTCACAGCATTTGAGTTCAATGAATCTGCCTAATTAAAAGAGCCTTTTTTTTTTTTTCTTTTTTTCTTTCTTGTCACTGAAACGGGAAGCCAGAAATACTTCTCTGCTGTTCTGGTTTCTGTGCCATTAACAGAAATGCTTTTGAACTCCCGCATGATATCAAAACCACCAAATTAAAAAGTTCTGAGAACCTTATTTCTGCAACAACGACAACCTCAATAATTAGTGGAGCCAAGTGGATGAACTGCCAAGAGCTCTGCTTAGGGTTTCCTGTGTTTGTTGTTATAAATGTGTGCAGTTCGGCCTGGGTTTTGCCTCCCAACATGCAAGAAATATCCCCTTATTGCACCGCTGGAGTCTGGTTTCTCAGGTGAAGAGTTTGTTTAGTGCTGACTTGCAGTTTATGTGTTAACTATGGAAACAAGTAGCTCAGCGTAAGGAGGTGCTGTAGGGGTTCAGACTTCGCGTTGATTGTCCTTCGTGGAGTCCAGTCACTTCACTCTTTGGTCACAGAATTTCCTGACTCGGCCTGCCTGGGCAAGCTGAAGAAAGTAGGAAGTCAGGAGAGAGTTCAAAGTCCCACCAGCTGGTGTGTCCTGATGATCCAAACAAGTTAAGCATCTACTGAGGCAAAGACAGTAACTGGGTAATTCCTGAGCCTGGGCTGTGTCGGGGTCAGATCCCACATGGAAACTGTGAGCAAATGATGAGCTCCAGCCGGACTCCCTATGGTGCCTGCTGCTGGTTTGCAGTGGGAATGTTATTTTAGCCTTGGTAGTTCAAGAATAAAAGGAAAACAAGCTTTATAGGAAGAAATAATATCTTTTATTAGATTATCATATGGTATTGTGAAAAAAATGACACGAAGGCAAAGAAATCAGATTAAATAACAACTTCCTGAACTTTGGCAGAGAAGACAGCATCATCCCTAGGGGAGTCACAATCTCTGTGTCTGTGCTTGTGCATGAAACCACGAGTGGACTAAACTGTTGTTGAGAAGAACTTCAAGAACTATAATTATGTGCATTATCCATTTTTTATTTTTTTTTTGAGGTAGAAAATCTCTCTCTCGTTTCATATTTTCCTGGACACTGATTTTTGTCAGCAGAATTTAATAAAAAACCCAGATCCGTTCCCAGCTGCATTTTCTTAGAAGTAAAGACAGTAGAAAAGGGATCAGTTTGCCTCGTACTTAGCATCTATCCTAGCTCTGCAGAGCCCTGGGGTACTTGTTTATAACTCCAGCAGAAAATGAGACTGAAGATACTTCATGAAGCAAGTATCATCTCTTGGAGAAATAACCTGTGGGGAGCACAGCGAGGGCTGGATAAGCACGCTGGAAGGCTTTTCAGGAATGTGTGGCTCTGGCAGAGCGGTGAGGAAATCCTGCAGGGTTAGACTGTTACAACACGTTGTCTCTCAGGATCGAAAATTGTTCCCGAGCTGTTCAGAGAGCCGACAATCCACCCGAAGACGTACAGCGAGGCACGAACGGGTCCGGGAAGCCCTGTTTATAGGAGACCTGTACCCAGCTGTACCTGTTAGTCTGACCCCTCTCACTGATGGATTCACTCTTAAAATGAGAAACAAACCCTCTATTTTTTTTTTTTTTTTACAGCGCTCACTTCTTACGCAGCTCAGCTACACTCTGCACCAAAATCTATGCGATCCAAAGTTTCAAGTTCACTTGAGAACACTTTTCCCACATGTCACCATGCAACAGATGCTTGAAAACAAAGCAAAATGGATGTGGCTGTAAACATCATCTGCAGCGTTTACAAGGGAATCCTTTCAGATCAGAAAATGACCCCTCAATTGCCTGAGATTTTTAAAGCAAGTTTAGAGCAAAATTTCAGGCCTCAGGCATGAAAATCCAGTTTGCCTGTTCAAGAATGCTCGTCTGATGCCCAGAGCTAATTTTGGTGCGCCAGATGCAGACAGTCAGCAGCAAGTTAAATTCTCCCCAAGCTGCACAGAAAGAGGCTAAGCAACTACTAAAAAAAAAAAAAAATATGTGTGGAGATTCCTCCCGGCAGCGTTTAGCAGTGATTTCCTCTTGTTCTATCATTCCCCAAAAAGGTAGAAGCAGCTCCCACCGCCCTCTTAGGCTCTGTGTCGGAGGAGAAGAATGCCTTGTGTGGGGACTGGGGTCGTGTTAAAGCTCCACTCCTGGTACAGCTGAATGCTTCTCCTGAAAATTCATTATCTGACTCTGATTTCTCTTTCATTTGAGTCGTGATTGAAAGGTCCCCATTCATTAATAAAGTCATAAGTGAGGGAGAGATAGAGAAGAATTAATTTTATTTTTTGAAATTTATTAGTCATTCCTTAAAACCAGTGTTTTTACTAAATGCCTTGATAAGGTGTTTTTATTATTATTATTATT